TGAAGTCTCCTACTGTTATGGTATTACTATCAATGAGTTTCTTTATGTTTGTGATTAATTGATTTATATGTTTGGGTGCTTCCACATTTGGCACATAAATATTTACAATTGTTAGGTTTTCTTGGTGGATAGACCCCTTAATTATAATATAATGCCCTTCTTCATCTCTTGATACAGTCTTTATTTTAAAGTCTAGATTGTCCGATATAAGTATGGCTACTCCAGCTTTCTTTTGTTGACCATTAACATGATAGATGGTTCTCCATCCCTTTACTTTCAATCTGTAGGTGTCTTTAGGTCTAAAGTGGGTCTCTTGTAAACAGCATATAGATGGATCTTGTTTTCTTATCCATTCTGTTACTCTGTGTCTTTTGATTGGAGCATTTAGTCCATTGACATTTAGAGTGAGTACTGAAAGATATGAATTTATTGCCATTATGTTGCTTGTAGAGTTGGAGTTTCTGGTAGTGGTCTCTGGTCCTTTCTAATATTTGTTGCTTTTGGTAGTTATTTGCTTATTTACTTATATATTTATTATTCATTCATTCATTCATTCATTCATTTTCATCTTTTCGCCCCTCAAAAAGTCCCCCTTAAAATTTCTTGCAGGGCTGGTTTAGTGGTGACAAACTCCTTTAATTTCTGTTTGTCTGGGAAACTTTTTATCTCTCCCTCTATTTTGAATGACAGCCTTGCTGGGTAGAGAATTCTTGGCTGCATATTTTTCTGATTCAGCACATTGACTATATCCTGCCACTCCTTTCTGGCCTGCCAAGTTTCTGTAGATAGGTCTGCTGCAAACCTGATCTGTGTTCCCTTGTAGGTTAAGGACTTTTTTTTCCCTTGCTGCTTTCATGATTCTCTCTTTGCCTGAGTATTTTGTGAATTTGAGTATGATATGCCTTGTTGATGGTCGGTTTTTGTTGAATCTAATGGGAATCCTCTGTGCTTCCTGGATTTTGATGTCTGTGTCTGTCCCCAGGTTAGGAAACTTTTCTGCTATGATTTGCTCACACAACCCTCTGACCCCTATTTCTCTCTCTTCCTCTTCTGGGACCCCTATGATTCTGATGTTGTTCCTTTTTAATGAGTCACTGATTTCTCTAATTCTTAAATCATGCTCTTTTGCTTTAATCTCTTTTATTCTTCTTTGTTATTCTCCATAAGTTTGTCCTCTATATCACTGATTCTCTGTTCTGCCTCATCCATCCTTGCCGCCGTGGCATCCATTCATGATTGCAACCCAGTTATAGCATTTTTTATTTCATTCTGACTAGTTTTTACTTCTTTTATCTCCACAGAAAGGGATTCTAATCTATTTTCGACTCCAGTTAGTATTCTTATTATTGTGATTCTAAATTCTGGTTCATACATCTTGCTTGTATCTGTGTTGGTTAAGTTTCTGGCTGTCGTTTCTTCCTGCTCTTTCTTTTGGGGTGAATTCTTTCGTTTCATCATTTTGAAGGGAGAAAAGGAATTATTGAGGTAGAAAAAATTAAAATTAAAAAAATTAAAATTAAAAAATATTAAAATTAAAAAATTAAAAACACACAAAAACCCCCAAATAAATGATGCTAGATCCTAGGTGTGTTTTGGTTTGGTGTTGAAAGTGGCTTGATATGTTAGAGAAAAAGGGGAAAGAAGAAAATAAAAGGAAATCGTTTAAAAATTTGAAAAAGTGAATACACTGAAGTAGACTAAAATGAAATGATGGAAGTAAACTAGAATTTGAAAAAATTCACACAAAAGTAAAAAATATAGTAGAAAAAATTAAAGAAAAATATTTTTAATAAAAATTAAAAAATGAATTTTTTCTCTTTCTGTATTGAAGAAAAAGAAAAGAAGTGAAAAAGAGAAAAAAAATAAAAGAAAATTGAATAGATGGACCTGCCAACAGACTGAAATACTACTGAAATTACTTCGTTTCCCCCTAGAAGTCAGACTGTGAAGTGCTTTATAGTCCATAAGCTAATCAGGTGGTGAGACTTCTATTCTTGAAGACTGAGGTTGGCCCACTTGCGCGGGGCTTAGTGTAATGGCTCCATTCTCCACTTGACGGCGCTGCTAGCCTACTGGGGTTGATTGTTGTGGCGCTTGTAGGTGCCTATGTGCATGTGCAGGAGCGGTGAAAATGGTGTCACCCAGCTACCCAGTTCCTAGTATTGGAACTCTGTTCTACCTGATCAGCAATCACGCACCTGTCCTTTGTCTTCAGCTTTTGTCCACTCCCTGCTTTTACACTGTCTGTGACCAAGCCCCAGGTTGTACTTCTCTCCTGAGTTTTGTCTCAGATGTGGCTGTTTTCTGTGGCCCCTTACTTCTGAGGGACTGCGGCTTTGACCTGTTCTGCCCCTCTGCAGAGGGTTTAACCGAGCAATGGCCAAATGCCAGGAAAGTTTGTGGGACCGTGCTGCTGCCGATGCCCGGAGACTACGGCCAGGTGCCAGCCTGCCCCAGAAAAAGTTCTTGAGATAGTTTAGCAGCAGCGTTTCAAGGATTATGGAAAATCACAACACACATCTGGCACCAGGCTTCACCCTTAACGACCTTGTTCCAGCACCAGCGAATGTGGCCATTCTCTGGGGTCTGTTGGGCCCAGGTTGCCTCACAGCCCCTACCAAATGTCCTTCCAGCAGTGGAACCACTTCTCCCCGTGTGGCCCAAGAACCTCCCAGACCCCACTCTGTTCCTGGGTCTTTTCCCTTCCCACTAGAGCACTTTCCGGTATTGAGCTGTGGAGTTGCAGGCTCTGTGCTCCCCCTGTTTACAGTCTTAATGGATTTAAACCCTCTCCTTTCTCCCTTTTTAGTTCAGTCCCTGTGGCTGTTTCCAATTTTCCCCTTTCTCTCCAGCTGCTTTTGGGAAGGGGTGCTTCTCCCGTATTCTCCCCACTGTCTCTGTCCTCTCTGCACGCAAAAGCACCTCCCTGCCCTCCACAGCCTCTGTCTCCTCAAGTCACCTCTCTGTGCCACGTACCTGCTGAATTCTGTGGTTCAGGTTGTGCAGATTGTTGTGTTAATCCTCTAATCAGTTTTCTAGGTATGCAGGATGGTTTAGTGTTGGTCTGGCTGTATTTCATGGATGTGAGACATACAAAAAACTTCCATGCTGTTCCACCATCTTGGCTCCCTCCAATAAACTTTATTTCTTACAGCAGTTAAAAGTGTACAGTAAAGTGAACAGACACATAGAGTTCCCGTGTGTTCCCTTTCCCCCAACCCATGGTTTTCTCTAGTGTTAACTTTTGCACTGGTATAGACTACATTTGTTACAAGTTATAATTCAATATTGATACAATTAAAAAAATTTTTTTAACGTTTATTTTTGAGAGAGAGACAGAGACAGAGTGTGAGTGGGGGAGGGGCAGAGAGAGGGAGACAGAATCTGAAGCAGGCTCCAGGATCTGAGCTGTCAGCACAGAGCCTGATGTAGGGCTCAAACTCATGAACTGCGAGATCATGACCTGAGCTAAAGTCGGACGCTTAATTGACTCAGCCACCCAGGCACCAATACTATATTATTAACCAAAGTCCATAGTTTACTCTAGGGTTTATTTTTTGGGTTGTATAGCTTTCATGTCCTGTATTCATGAAAGTATTAAATATCATACAGAGTAATTTGAATATTATCCCCTAACTTGACCTATTTGTCCATCTGCCCTTTACTCCACCCTCAGCCCCGCCCCCTCACATGGGCAACTACTGTCTTCTTACTGTTTGTATAGTTTAACATTTTCTAGAATGTCATATAGTTGGAATCATATGGTTCGAGGTCTTTTCAGACTGAATTTTTACTTAGAATATGCATTAAAGTCCCCTCCCCTCCCATGTCTTTCCAGGGATTGAAAACTCATTTATTTTTATCACTGAATAATATTCCATTTAATGGATATATGATTATTTATTCATTCACCTATTGAAAGACATCTTAGATACTTGGTTGCTTCTAAGTTTGGGTGTTATGAGTAAAGCTGCTATAAACATTTGTATTCAGGACATAAATTTGTTTCAGATATAAGTTTTCAACTTATCTGGATAAGTACCTAGGAGTGCAATTGAAGGGTTAGATGGTTAGGCTCGCAAAAGCACTCTCCTAACTTGTTTTCATAGTCACATTTGAACTGTAATTTTTAAAAGTCCAATTTTGTTCATGAATATATAATAAAAATACCCATACATATTTGGAAATTCTATCAAGATTGCTAAATTCTTTGGAATAGTTTGGTGGTAGGAGTAGGAAGGTAATATCTTGCTTGTAAGGGTTTGAAGGAGCAAAAGGTGGAAAAGTGAGCTGTTTTGATTGATTGATTGATTGAGGGAGGGTGCAAGTGAGTGAGGGGCAGAGAGAGAGAGAGGGAAAGAGAGCGAAGCAGGGCTCCTGCTCAATAGTGAGCTGTTTTCAAAGAGGAACTACATGATGTGCAACAAACTGTCATTATATTCACTGACTTGGAAAGTATTGTAGAGATATTGAAACAAAGAGTTGGGAAAACTCCCCTGCACAACTGTATGTTTCCTGTTCTGGTTTGCATAGGGTCTGGCCTCTGGATGCTCCTTGAAGCCTCTTGGCACAGCTGCACTGTCAGCTGGGCTCGTTTTCTGAGATTAGCACAGCATAGAGCGCTTCCTTCTACTCGAACATCTCACTGTCCACATTCCTGCTGCCAACAGAGCCTACCATATAGCTTTTACTTAGGATGTCGGCAAAACAGTTTCTTCTAAATATTTAAAAAAATTAATATACTCTCCAAAGTAAGTAAGACCAGAATCCCGACATGTGACCTTCGCTTAGTAATTTTTGAATGACCCAAAATACTTGCAGGCCCCTTCTTATCTATTCTACATTTTGTAAATAATTCAGCCATTGAATTTTATAGAGTTTATAATATATTGCTCTTCTGAAACACAACACTAGTCTGTGGTGAGAATTAAGATTAACATGAAAATACACATTTTTAATCCATTTAGCTGATGATTACTTGATTCTTTTTGAATATTCAGATGAGCTGAAGAATTGCAAGAGAAACAAAGACAACTTTACATTCCAAGAGGCGTGCCAGTGCATGGCTATTTTTAGTCCCTGGCATCAGTCAGGACATACTTGTTGGATATCAGGTGTGTTGAATGTGGCACACGGTCACGGTGATATGCAGCAGGCTCTCAGCTGACCTCTCCCGACCTTGTAGGAATACCCTTGCATCTGTGAGACTCCAGTAAATGCTTTTCAGGTAAGCCTGTGATGCCTGAGTTTGGCTGCTGTGGGTTTGTGAGGTTCATTGTGGGGGACGGCATGGGGCCACAGAAGATTTGCTCTTTTTTAGGGGACCAATAGACAGGTAGGGTTCACAGATATTCTGTGGTAAGCTCAATCATTCAGCCACCTAGTGCTAACCTTGTTGCTAGGACAAAGGAAATAATACATATATTCTCTGAGGAGTTTATCAACATGGCTGTCATTTTTTCTTAGCCACTTGACAAGATCTTGACATTGAGGAAGTATGTCCCTGCACCACTCCCTTTAAATTCTAGCTCAACACAATAGATGCTGTAAAGCTTCAAAATAGGTTACCATTTATGTGATTCTTACTATGTGCTATGTCTTTCTTTCAATTAATTATTAGTTGTCACAAACATCAATGAGGTGGATGAAAAATTAAGGCTTAGAGAGATTAACTAACATGTCCAAACTGGTAAGGGGATAGCTCTGAGATTGACACTCAGGTCTTTCTCACACTGAAGATGGGGCTTCCTTATCCACAGTGCTGTCCTGCCACCTAAAAATAGACTTGTCTATACCAATGCAAGAAGCTGTCACATTTGTCTGACACAGTTGTGTTTTTCTAAATAAGGGCTCAGTATTACTCCTTGTTCAACTACCCGTAATATAATTACAATCAATTTTGATGTTGCTAAATGATTTTGAATTATCTCCTCAAATTATCTTTATTACTTCTCTGAAAAACGGAGGCTTAATATATTGATAAGTTGTCAGAATTGCCCTTTAATTTTTCAGTGATCAGTAATACCACCCAGGATCTTTCTCAGCTTCTGGAGATGACTAGAGCTTTGTAAATACACACACTTTCTTGCTCTCTCTGTCTCTCTCTCAATCAGTAAGGTCATTGTCTAATTCTCTTAGGATCCTTATGCACACCAGGACCCATTCTTATTTTACGCACACTTACCTTGTATTTCTAGTATTTTTCTCTTGTTTTTCTACTGAGTATTGATTTTTGTCTTCATTAATTCTTCCCATAACTGCCAATTTCCTTCATTCTTTGTGTTCAACATCTCTTTTAAAGTGTTACTGAGGGGCGCCTGGGTGGCGCAGTTGGTTAAGCGTCCGACTTCAGCCAGGTCACGATCTCGCGGTCCGTGAGTTCGAGCCCTGCGTCGGGCTCTGGGCTGATGGCTCGGAGCCTGGAGCCTGTTTCCGATTCTGTGTCTCCCTCTCTCTCTGCCCCTCCCCCGTTCATGCTCTGTCTCTCTCTGTCCCAAAAATAAATAAACGTTGAAAAAAAAATGTTTTAAAGTGTTACTGAATTGACTTATTCTGGATTTGTTGATTTCTCATTCTTAATTTATTTCTTGTTACTTTTCTTTCATTTATAAGGCTTATTGTATTTTCTATAACATGCATTTTGCCCCCTTCTGTGGTTATTTTGTTCCTTCTCTGGGGATTATTTTTGCTTTTTTTTCTACCCCTTGGTCCCCAGGTCTGTTCCAGGCTCTTTGGAGTCTGGGTTGGGGTGTAGTGGAGCAGAACCCAGGCCAGCACTGCCTGGGGGAAACTTCAAGGACTGTCAGGGTCTGGGCTCCATATAATCACTGAGGGTTATTGTTAGATCATTCTCTTCCTACCTGTCTCTGGCCCCCCTGCCAGCACCAACCAAAGCTCCCCCTTCTCCCCCACCCCCTCCCCCCCCAGGGCCTGCAAGTTGGCCAGGAAAGGGAAAGCAGTGCCCACAGCATCAGGGACACGTGGCTGGCTTCTTTGGTCCCTGGTCTTTCATCAAGAGAATAATGGGTTCCATTCATTGTTAGGCATACTGGGCTTTGAACCAGATGTCTAATATCTATTATCTCAAACCTTACCCCCACCCTGAAAGGTTAATTACTATCTATGTTTGACAGATGAGGAAACTGATGCTCTGAGAGGTTAAGGATCTTGCCAGAGAGTGAAGTTTATAGATGGATGCACTGGGATTCCAGGCCCTGTCTGTGTGACTCCAGTCTCCATTGTTTCCACCACAGCATTCTGCCAGAATGAACTTGTTACTTGAGTACTTTCTACACCTTTTGTTATCTGCATTTGGATTAGATCCTTCTTGTTCTAATTAGAGGGTGTTTTAAGTATTCCCTACTGTTGTATCTTAATATTATTGCATCATGCTCCCAAGAGTTGTTTCTCCCTACTTAATTCATTAAGAATCCCAGTACATTGTTTCCTTTGTTTATTGTATTAGAATCTAGTAGCTGGTGAATCCTGTTTCCCAGCTTCCTGCCACAGTGAGAGCAGGTCTAAATGAATTATAATGTGTTGCTCTGACAATCTAATAATAACAAAATCAAGGTTATTGATCATTTTCAACTTAATGAATTAAATTTTCCTGCTTACAGGGCTTTTACATGGACCCTTAACTTTGATTGATGCTGGTTCTTTTACTTTAGACCTGTGTCTTGCCTATACAGAGTACTCTGCTGATGTTCACAAAGAAGCATGATTGGCATTGGCCTGACTGTAGGTTGGGTTAAGATGCTGATACATGGGGGATATGTCTCAGTTTCATAAAGTACTTTTAATTTTTTTAATTAAAATTTTTTTAATGTTTATATTTGAGAGAGAGAGAGAGAGAGAGAGAGAGAGAGAGAGACATAGAGAGAGGGAGACACAGAATCCGAAGTAGGCTCCAGGCTCCAAGCTGTCTTCCCAGAGCCCAATGTGGGGTTTGAACCCACTTGAACTGCAAGATCATGCCCTGAGCTGAGTCACCCAGACACCCCGAGTACTTTTAATTATTAAAAAAAAATTTTTTTTTCAACGTTTATTTATTTTTGGGACAGAGAGAGACAGAGCATGAACGGGGGAGGGGCAGAGAGAGAGGGAGACACAGAATCAGAAACAGGCTCCAGGCTCCGAGCCATCAGCCCAGAGCCCGACGCGGGGCTGGAACTCCCGGACCGCGAGATCGTGACCTGGCTGAAGTCGGACGCTTAACCGACTGTGCCACCCAGGCGCCCCTAATTATTTTTAATCTACAATACAAAGATTAGATGCATGAGGTCACTGTCAGTTCTGTAATTCTGGTTTTGAGTAAGTTTTGGCTTGATGAGTATCAACATTTCCTTTCTTATTTTCTCTTTCTTTCTTTCTTTCTTTCTTTCTTTCTTTCTTTCTTTCTTTCTTTTTAGTGATAACCACTCTTGAACATTTGGGCATATTTCTTTTTAACCTGTGTGTGTGTGTGTGAGTGAATTTTATCACAAATGAGATCCTAGCACATACACAATTTTGTATTCTTTCTCAATTAATGTAGATAATAAATTCTCCATCATTAAAAACTCTCCATGAATATAATTTTAATGGCTACATAGTATTTCATAGTATGTATATGCCATAGCTTACTAACCATTCCCCAGTGTTAGGCATTTAAATCATTTCTCATTTTATGTATAATGCTCCCAGGTCCGCTGTAGTGCATCCATTTTTGTCCAGATTTATGATCGTTTCATTTATATTGATTCCTTGAAGTGAAATTAATAATAAAAAATATGACCACTTTAGAGATACTTGGTAAATAACGCTTGCCAGATTACTTACCAGAGTTTGTTTCCACTCCAGCCAGCAGTGGGGGAAGAGTGTAGGACTCACTGCCCCCATGCACTGTACATGGCTAATTTGATAAGCAAACGCTAATGGTGCTATTTTGATTTATATTTCTTTGGTTACCAGTAAAGCTAAACATTTTTTATCTATATATTAATTTTTTTGAGTCATTTAAAAAACTCTCTACTTTTTATCTATTGAAGTTTGGTATATTTCTTACAGCTTACAAGGGATCTTTATATGCCAAGGATACTGACCCTTTTTCCATTTCATTTGTTGAAAATTTTCCTAATTAGTTGTTGGCCTTTATATTTTTATAATTTTTTTTGATGTTTACCTGTGTTTAACTTACTAAATTTTACTGAGCACTTTAGTTTACTATGTAATTTATGAAATACTATAGAATATATAATTTATGATGTAAAATTAAATATGCTAATTTAATTTACTAATTTTGATTTTTCAGTTGTCAGTTGTTATCTTTTGTGTGAGTGTGATTTCTGCCATCAGTTTTAAAAGTCTTTTTCCCTTAGATTTCAAAAAAGAAGAAAGTCTTTTCAAATACAGGAAGATAAGTATATTTAACTATATGTTTTTTTTTTTCTAGCTCCTCTAATGGAATTTTACAACTTCAACTCTGTGATTTACTTGGCATTTACCTTGGAGTACATTTTGGGATTAAAAAAATCTAACGTGATTTCCCCCTATAGATAATCAGTTGACCCTGCAATATTTTTGTTAAATAAGCCATTGTATCATCACACTTCATGACTTCATCATGTATTTATGTTTTATCTAACTTTTGGTCTGTTTCTATGCTGTTTTGTTTTATTGATCTGTTTCTGATTTATCCTAGAATGATACTCTTAATTACTGTATCTTTATAATATGGTTTATTACTTGAAAGATTGTATTTTTCCTTCTTCCAGTATTATCTAGAACTTACTTATTTTAACCTTTTCTAAAATATAAATTATAGCATCATTTAGCCCAATTCTTTATTTGACCTCTATTTCCCTTGACCTCTCTCCCCTCCCACCCTGAAGTAAAAACCAATAAAATAATAACTAAAAGGAAACATAAATAGCTCTAGGATTTTTGTTGGAACTGTGTAAAACCAATAAAATGATTTAGGCAGAACTGAACTTTTTTAGTGCCTATCTAGAAAGGCACTTTCCTTTTAAACAAAAGCTTCTTAGTTTTTTTTGGGTCAGAGATGGTCATCAGGTGGCCCTGTGTGAGCACCAAAGATGTTCCAAGGCAGAACTGTGTGACCACAGCCTGCAAATGGCCAAATGTGGCCAAAGGCTGCCAGCGAATGCCCTCAAGCTAGAATGGTTTTTACACTTTTAAAGGGCTGTAAAATGAACCAAAGAAGAATATGCAACAGAAACCTTATGT